TTAATGAGATTTATAGAAATAATTGTACGCTAGAGAATTTAATTTATCAATAAATAATATTTCTTATAATAATTGCTGACTGTCGAAATAAAATAATTAAAGTGAGATTTATGAAAAATATTAATCATTTATTTTTGGCTTTTTAAACTCTAGAATCGAAAATAATATAGATATTATAAAAAGCATCAAGAAAATAGATTTATATTAGTTAAACTTGTAATAAATGTTCATTCCAAAGAGTAATTCATATATTTCTAAATAGTTATACATGTTGTGCTATAGATTGTTATAATATATTAACCTGTTCTGTTCAATTTAAGAATCTTTAATCAAAAATAAAAGTAACTTTTATACCTCAAAGGCTAGAAATTAATTTAGATCTGATTACCTCAATCAAGAACATTTAACTAAGATGAGTAAGCCATCAGAGCACCTAGCTCAAAAAATGTAATAAAGGCCAATAAAAACATAAATCAACATAGAAGACCTATTATCATGTCATAAAATTGGTAGAAGCAACTGAATTGGAAATTTTCTCTAAATGGTCAAGAGGATACAGGGTAATCACAAAATTAGACTTTAGTGGACTCCTTTACTGCAAAGGTTCATTATTGTCTTCGATAACAATAAGCTATAATTATTAATTTCTATGTTTGTATTTGTCTATTAATATTATGATTTTGATAATCGAATAATAGAATTAAAAAATAAACTTCAAATAAATTTTATTTGTATCCTTATTTATCAAAATATCTTTAGAAAAATTGATTTTCATGTTTCATCATTTTTGAAATTCTGCTTCCTCATAATCTCTTACCTTGCTTCATATAATTCTCCTTCTTCCATACATTCTTTTAGAAAATAGTGCATTAAGTACCGGTTTGGAAACGCAAAAATTAAACAGACTAATATCAAAATTTATGCATAATTTTATATGCAAATCATATATACGTGAAATACATCATCCTTCCTTAAAATGATTTAAGGTTGATTGTAAATTCGTACTTTAAATCTTTTTGCTAACCAGTCTAAAATCTAATAGTATTTTAGTTTTTAATTCTACTTTCATATACTCACATATTCAGGAAGAATATGTCATTTATGATATATTGATGATGTTATATCTACTTTTTCTTGACGATCATATTTCAGTTTCAAAATATAGTCTTGAAATTTCACAGGTTGAAATCTATATGTGTCTATGCTTAACTAAGATATTATAAGAACATAAGAACAAAGTAAAAATTTAAACCTTGGATATGGCATAAGATTCGTCTAAGATTCAAGACCATTCTTAAAAATTTAATAAATCATTTAATTATCCAATAAAAAAATTGAATGTTCAAGTTGCAAAGATTAAGTTATTTGATTCTTCTTATATCATCATCTTCTATCAGTTATCCATAAGTGTGTATTTAATGCTCTAAAAAAAAAATAAATCCAAATTTTGATTTACAACTTATATTTCCAAATATATTAAGTTTTCAAAAGATGATTATATTATAAAAGAAATATTAAAAATAAAGAACTTAATTAAAATATATATAATTTATGAGACTTTCTATAACAAATAAATAAATAATTTTTTAGAATTTGTAATTTCCTTTTTCTTTTTAAAATAAACTTTTCATTTACTCTTTAATGAATTTCTCAATCAAAATTATTACTACCTCAAACATAAGATTTTCATTTCTGTAATAAAGTAAATTATTAATCATTTTCAGACATCTTAACAAATTCATGAAGTCACTTATGAATATCAACATCCAGAATTATTTTTTATTAGGATTGAAATGTTAGCCATTAAAATGTGAATAATCAAAAGTAGCTTTGATTTTAGAAAATTTAATACATTTATATTCTTACCTTAAATGTCTTTTAAATAAACCTTATAAAAATATCAATGATTTATTGATAAAGTAATATATTACTATTACAATTTTAACCAGTGTGTTTATAAT